GCTATACCACACAAAACCAACTCATCCAACTACATCCATTTCTTAACCATCTCTTATAATCTTTCCTAGTCTGAAATTATAGAACCAGTTTGAAACTACTGAAGAAATCCCGATTAACTTTAGACCACTAAATCAGTTTGAAGTATTTATACACACTTAAACTTGTACTATTGTAAACTTTACTAATTGTAGTACTTTTTGCTTCCTCTCTACTATAAATTTTTCTAATTATAATATTTTTGCTACCTAGATTTTGTAATAATACTTAATTAAAATTTACTGTCCTATAACCTATGTCTAGTTTTAAGTAGTCTGTAAGCATTAGGATTAGTCTGCCCAAAATGCTCAAGCATGCTAGTGGTTTTCTTTGTGCCTCACAATGCTTTATTACATGTAAACTATAGTTTGTATACTACACAAGGAAATGAAAATTTAGATTTTTTCATCTTTTGCAAGAGATTGATGTAGAACTGTAATTAAAGATGGAAAAAATATATGAATACCACATAAATGTAAACAATGTGGAGAATTAAAGATGACACAAAATTTACTTAATAATAAACACAAACATGAAGTAACTAACTTAAAACAATAAAAAAGTAAAATATAAATTACCTTATAACTTTATTGCTTTAATTCATTTAGCAATTACTTCAAATTTGTGTTTATTATTATTAACCCTTTCACTGTCTGTCATGTAGATCAACACTGATGCCATGGTCCATCATGTACATCCATGTCATGAGCTCAGCTCACTCAGATAAACTGTGGGCGGTATATTTGGGTTTGTGCAGCAAGTGTGCAAAATATAAAATAAAATCTTGCCTTGAACAACACAAAACTCATAATCTTGTGTTTGGTTTAAAATAGGGAACTTTGAGGTGTTTTCTATATGTTTTTTATGGTTTTATTGAATATTTCTTGGTATTAAATGATAGAATGGAAAACATACTACTGAAATAAAGTAATATGAGGTTGCTCCATGACCAGAAGTAGCTTGAAATTGACCTCAAATTAGAGGAATTATTATATTTTTACCAATTTTTCTGAGTACAGGTAAAGCCCTCAGTCTGTTTTGTGGGTTTTTACTAGGTCTGATTTAATTATTGGAATGCCGTAAACTATGACCAATTACTCCTAGTTATACAGTGGACCCCCGACTTACGATATTAATTCATTCCAGAAGTCTGTTCGGGTGCCATTACTGAACGAATTTGTTCCCATAAGGAATATTGTAAATTAGATTAGTCCGTTTCAGACCCCCAAAAATACACGTACAAGAGCACTTACAAAAATACACTTACATAATTGTTCGAGTTGGGAGCTGATCGTAAGGCGGGGGTCCACTGTATTTTATTATTTAAGAAATAGGGTAAATCTTCAGATTTTTTACGAACAATTCAAAATGGAAGGCAAGTGTAATAATGTAGGAGAGGCCTGGGGACATGATTAATGAATGGAAAATGATAATGATAAATTTATTTCAGCATGATACAATGTTTGTACAAAGGAGAATGAGATTTGGGTGTACATGCCGAAAGTTCCTTTACGTGCAAAGCATTTCGCGCAAACTGAAGACTAACTTAAGATTAATAAGGCAATAACAATATGAATAATTTTGTACATACAGTCACTTAGGTGAGTGTAACTGTAAATTTAGGAGTTTACAATGAATACGAGAGAACTGAATATTGTATTAGTTCATGCTATATGGATTTAATAAATTTAATAGAGAAGAATTGCAGGTTTGATTATTAATCTAAAGTGGACACAATGATTGTTTAATGTTTGAGAAGATAACAGATATTGAGAGTAAGTATACTGATTGTAATGTGTTACCTATTTCATGTTATTAAGCAAATGCATATACTATAGTTTTTACATATAAATTTAGTTGGGGCTGCGATAGGTTAGGGAGATAAAGTGTTTTTAATGGTAGTTTTGAAAATGCTGGCTGAGTCAGGGGTTCTGGAGATTTCTGGCAGTTTTTTCCAGATTTTGGGACCTTTTATGTACATTGAATTTTTGAAGAGATTTAGCCGGACACGGGGAATGTCACAGAAATTTTTGTGCCTAATATTATGTCTATGGGTCTTGTTGCATCTCCAGTGGAACCTCTGTTTTTGTATACCCTGGTTTTCGTAGGATTCGGTTTTTGACAACTGTTTTCGTCTAAATTTTGTCCCAATTTTTCGGCCCTGGTTTTTGCAGGATTCAGTTTTTGACAACTGTTTTTGTCTAGATTTTGTCCCAGTTTTCGTACATCTGCTCAGTTTCCATAGAGTTGATGCCAGAAACAGACCTCTCTGGGCTGATTTTTTGTGCAACAATGGTCCAGTGACTCTCAAGCTGGTCCTAGTGCCAGTAAAAGACAAAGAAGGGAAGTAGCCCCTTGATACCTGAAGTCCTTATGGAGGGGGATTCTCCTTCCAAACAATAAACTTTCCTCCTCCCACTCCCCTCCTCGCCGTCTTCCATTTGCCAACAAGAGTCTTCAATAAAGGTAAAAGTGATGTTAAATGTTTACATTTACCCATTTCATTAGTCATTTATATTTATTTCTCATTGTTTTCTGTATGTAAAACTATATTCTCTGGAATGGATTAATTGGAGTTACAGTACTTATTTCTTATGGGAAATATGCTTCAGTTTTTGAACAATTTGGTTTTAGAAGACTTTTTTGGAACAAATTAATCATGAAAACTGAGGTTCCACTGTATCAAGAAAGCACTTCAGGTCAGGATTTATATTAGAATTTATTGTTCTGTACATGTAGGTTGCACAGTAATACGAGTGAATGTTTTGCATAGTGAGTAGGGTTAGGCAGTGGATAGTGTGATCATTCGCACTGCAGCTTTTCTTTGGGTTATTATTGGCTTTAGGTGATTTGTACAAACAGCATAGGTGAGGTAGGGGTAGATCAGTGAATAGTATAGTATAAGTAGTGCTGTTTGTGGTACATAGTAACATATCCTTGAGAGGATGACAATTGTTTTGGATACTTTTTTGTTATGTGTTGGATATGGGTGTTCAATTTCAAGTTGCTGTCTAGGTGCAGACCCAGAAATTTTCCCTCTTTATGTTTAGTAATAAGGGTATTGTTAAGCATAATGTTTAGTTGAACCTCACCTGCTCTGCTCCCAGACATAATGTAGAAGGTTTTGTCAATATTCAATTTAAGTTTATTGACGGTCATCTAGATATTTTTACGAGGTCTTCATTAACGATAGTGTTGAGTGCAGCAAGATTACTGTGGGAGATGACGCAAGTTGTGTCGTCATCAAAGAGAATAGATCAAGGTTGTTGTGATACATTTAGAAGATTGCTGATGCATAAAAGGAAAAGTAGGGGGGGCCAAAAATCCTTCCCTGTGGTACACCAGTGTCCTGGGGTCTTGTGGAGTAGGATGCTGTGGTCTACTGTACCAAAAGCTTTCTTAAGGTCAATAAAGAATCCAAGTGGGTGTTTATTATTTTTGAGTGCTGTATAAAGCAGGTCTAGCATCTTCATTATTGCAACATTTGTGCTTTTGTTTCTCCTGAAGACAAATTAGCAGGGGTTAAGGATGCTTTGTCATGTACTGAAGGAATATAATCTCTTGTGTATGAGCTTCTCAAAGATTTTGGAAAATAAAGGCCAGTATGATATTGGTCTATAGTTGCTTACATTCTCCATGGGGAAGTGGAACAGAATTCTTCCTCCGTAAGTCATGTGTGTCATAAAAGGAGACTAAAATGTGTCACCTGTGTCATAAAAGGAGACTAAAATGTGTCACCCTGCTTGGTGGGATATGGCCAGTTTGATGACAACAAAAAAAATGAAGCTTGGAGATCAGATAGTGTGGGATTACCTAAAGTATTATTCAGAGGGGTGAGGTGGGATTGTTGAGGTAGTATGGACATTTAGGGAGGAGGAAACAAAATAGGATGACTTAGTTGAATATGGAGTGGAAGGAGGAGTAGGAGGAATAGGAGTCATCCCAGGAAAGGGTGGAAAGAGAGGTAAAGGAGGCTTCGCATCCTAGGGGCTCAAACATCAAGCAGGCTTTTGTGAGAGCATTACACAAGAGTAGAGAAGACACCTTTTTGACTTGAAGTGTTGCTGAAATGTGAGCAAGGTAACATTTATGAAGGGATTCTGGAAAATTGGTTAGTCAGACTTGAGTCTTGGAAGTAGAAAGGGCAATGCCTGTGCTCTGAAGGAGGGCTGGAGATGTTGAATTCAGAGGGTATAATCTGAACTGTGATAGCACACTTCTGGCAAGACACCAATTGAGTGAATGATGGTGAATATTTTTTCTTTGAGTTACCCTACCAATGGGAAATTTCTTTTCAGGCTAAAAAAAAAAAAAAAAAAAAAAAAAAAAAAAAAAAAAAAAAAAAGTGAAATGATGAACTGGTAGGAATCATGCAGCTCCTGGGGACTAGGAAGAAAACAGGTTTGATCCAAGGATGAGAAGGAAAACTCTAATTCTTTGGATATGAGCTCTTCACTAGCAATAATGCAGGGATATATATATATATGTCTCCATGGGGAAGTGGAACAGAATTCTTCCTCCGTAAGCCATGCGTGTTGTAAGAGGCGACTAAAATGCCGGGAGCAAGGGGCTAGTAACCCCTTCTCCTGTATAAATTACTAAATTTAAAAAGAGAAACTTTTGTTTTTCTTTTTGGGCCACCCTGCCTCGGTGGGATACGGCCGGTTTGTTGAAAGAAGAAGAATATATATATATGTCTCCATGGGGAAGTGGAACAGAATTCTTCCTCCGTAAGTCATGCGTGTTGTAAGAGGCGACTAAAATGCCGGGAGCAAGGGGCTAGTAACCCCTTCTCCCGTATAAATTACTAAATTTAAGAGAAACTTTCGTTTTTCTTTTAGGGCCACCCTGCCTTGGTGGGATACGGCCGGTGTGTTGAAAGAAAGAATATACATATGTAAAAAAAAAATCTTAATTCTTTGATTTCTTACAAACTTTGAATAAAGAAGTGGTAAGAACTTACTTGAGTGTGTGAACTCTAGTAGCGAGGTCATTCTTCTTGTCAGTCCAGCTGGTGTCGTTCCAGTCCAGGTCATAGAATAAGACAACAAGTGCTGGCACATGGTACAGATACTTGGAGATCCAGTTCGACTTGAGGATACCCTTGGGTACATACCACTCATAAGACTGTCTCTGAGGAGACAATGAAACTTTCAAAAATCAATACTTTTCAGGGAATTAGTCAACACTCACTGATAACTTGCTTATATGAAGGGAATTATCCCTGGTGGATAGTGAGGCTCAGCTTAGGGTATGTAGGAGAGAGGGAGATTATTGTGCAGTAAAAGTAGGTCTTAGACAGGGATGTGTGATGTCACCATGGTTGTTTAATATATTTATAGATGGAGTTGTAAGAGAAGTGAATGCTAGGGTGTTGGGGAAAGGTGTGGGACTGGAAGATAAAAAATCTAATACAAAGTAGTTGTCACAGTTGCCTTTTGCTGATGATACTGTGCTTTTGGGAAATTCTGAAGAGATGCTGCAAAGCTTGGTGGATGAATTTAGGAGAGTATGTAAAAGAAGGAAATTGAAAGTAAACATAAGAAAGAGCAAGGTGATGAGGGTAACAAAAAAATTAAGCAATGAAAGATTGGATATCAGACTGGAGGGAGTGAGAAGGAAGTGAATGTGTTCAGATATTTGGGAGTGGGCTTGTCAGCAGATGGGTCTATGAAAGATGAGGTGAGTCACAGAACTGATGAGGGGAAAAAGGTGAGTGGTGCACTGTGGGACCTGTGAAGACCAAGAACATTATTCATACAGGCAAAAAGGAAAATGTATGAGAGTATAGTGGTGCCAATGCTCTTATATGGGTGTGAAACATGGGTTGTGAATGTTGCAGCAAGGAGGAGGAGGCAGGAGGCAGTGGAGATGTCATGTCTGAGGGAAATGTGTGGTGTGAATATTATGCAGAGAATTCGTACCATGGAGATAAGGAGGAGGTGCAGGATTACTAAAAGTATTATCTAGAGGGCTGAAGAGAGGCTGTTGAAGTGGTTCAGACATTCAGAGAGATGGAACAAAACAGGATAACTTGAAGGGCGTATAAATCTGTAGTTGACAGAAGGCAGGGTAGAGGTCGCCCTAGGAAACATTGTAGGGAGGGGGTAAAAGAGGTTTTGCATGCAAAGGGCTTAGACATCCAACAAGCGTGTGTTAACATATTAGATAGGAGCGAATGAGGCAAATGGTTTCTATGACCTGACGGTCTGTTGGAGTATGAGTAAGGTAATATATATGAAGGGGTTCAGGGATTTGAGTCCTGGAGGTGGGAAGTACAATGCCTGAAGTCTGAAAGAGGGGTGAGGTTATTTGCAGTTTTGAACTGTAGTACTGGCATGCCTCTGGCAAGACAGTGATGGTAAAAGTGTTTCTTCTTTTTTTTTCAGGTCACCCGATCTTAATTCGAGATGACTAATGTATAAACACACACACACATGCATCCATGCACATGCACACATGCACGCACGCACACACACAGTGAAAGGGAGGAGCAGCGGCAACAGCAGCTGCAGTGAAAGCAGCAGCAACAGGACTTATGCAAATGTTTCCATTTCATCTCCTCTTTTTTTTTACTCTCCATATTTGTTATAAACTAATTACATAAAATAATCAGTTATTTATAACTATGAGTAATCATCAAGAATGTATTTCTAATTAAAAAATAATTAATAATAGACACACATTTATAACCTATAGAGACAGTATAACCTTCATACCTATGCACATACAATATATAAATATCATTTTTTCTGTTCTCAAACTTTTGCATTAAAGTGCTGTACCTGTGTGCAGGAATGTTCTTTTTATACTTCATCTGTCTTTGATTATAATCAAAGTCTGATGAATTTCTGTTTATCAAGGAAAATCACCACATAGTTGATACATGGATAAAAATAAATGCAATATTCTACAAATTTAATTCTAAAGTGAAATTATATGAACATTTACTGTAGTTCATTTATGGCAATGTTCAAAAACAATAGTACCCATAGCTCATGTACTGAGGGTCCGTCGTTCGATCCCCAGCAAGGAAGGAAACATTGGGCATGTTTCCTTACACTTAGCAGTAAACAGGTACCTGGTGTTAGCTGATTGCTGTGGGTCACATCTTGTGGCCTAGCTTTAAAATGAGCTAACACAGGCTAACAGCTATTAGCCTGTGAATTCAACTGTGTAAAACAAATTAAATTACCTTTGGTTTCATAGGAGGCATCTGGAAGTCATTAGAGAAGAGTCGGAAGTGCAGTGGAGTACGATCAGTCCTCCGGTTGAGTGCAAATGCTTCCCAAACAGCTTTGTGTGTTGCTTTTTCTGTTATATTTAATCCTGAAGAACAAATAAATGAATGCTGTACAATTAATATTGGTACATACTCAAGTTCATATACAAATAAGGCCTCTTTTGTTAATTTATTTACTGGTGAGGCTAGTCTGTTTGACCTCCAGAACCCAACCTTACTGGGATAATCCATACAACATTTATGGCAGAATTATATACCAAGCCCAACAGTTAAGTACGTATATAGAAACTTAAAATGGCACAAAACTATGATTATTATTATATTCATGAAGAAATGCACTAACCCCACAGATGTTATACAGCACTTGAAGAATTGAGACACTTATGCAACATATGGGAATCTTTATTGAGGAAACTTTTTGCCACACAGTGGCTTCATCAGTCCAATACAAATCAGAAGGGTGTATTGTATTGGACTGATGAAGCCACTGTGTGGCGAAACGTTTCCTCAATAAAGATTCCCATATGTTGCATAAGTGTCTCAATTCTTCAACTTGTCGGTTTTCAAAATCATTCACCACATCTGTCAGACACGTCTGTGCAGCATCATGGGATCTTGATACAAAGATTTCTTCAAAACTTGTCCAACCTTTGGACGAAGACCTACTTCGACTAGTGGATGGTACCACTATGACCCCGCCTCCTCCTGCTTCGCCTCACCTGACTACAGTATACGTATAAGCCACTTCTATGGCCCTATGCTGTACTTTCTACAAGTTTGATGGACTGAACACATCGACTCCAGGCTGGGGGACTGATTACCTCACACTCCTCCTCTCCTTACACCTTTCTGATCTGTAATGGACTGATGAAGCCACTGTGTGGCGAAACGTTTCCTCAATAAAGATTCCCATATGTTGCATAAGTGTCTCAATTCTTCAACTTGTCGGTTTTCAAAACCATTCATCACATATACAGCACTTGTAGGAATGGGAGGTATTCAGGTTCAATCCAAGGAAGGGTAGCACAGCATCAATTACTTAGATCAAAAGCCCTCACCAGCATCAAAGAACCTCTCTTTAGAGAACAAAACTATGAAAAAGTAACCAAAAATGAACCAAAACCCTAAACTAAAATAGCATATTTCAACTTCATCCACTGCCAGACACCAACCATAGTGGCTTTGCCAAGGCAAATCACAAACCACCACTAAGCACAGCACATATCATTCATGGACAAAAACAAACATCAGAAAAAAAAAAAAAAAAAGCTTCAAGTGCAGACTGCAGATAATCACAGATTAACAAATTTCACACTTCATCCTTCCTTGCCTAAGGTAGCAACCTCGTATTTATCTATAAGAATTACACTTGTACTGGTAATAACTTCTATTACAGGGCTTCATCTCATTAATTTTCTGTGGCAGTCATTATATTTTTTCCTTGGAAAGCTTAATGCATGTTTATCTACTTACCTGGACCAAAGCATAAAAAGTTATGTCAGGGGCAGGAAACTCATATTTTTCATTTTCATTTTATTCCAGGAAAATTGCTAAAGCTGTAGGGAATCATATAGCACCTTGGGAATGGGAGGGTTGATCCAATAAAGGGCAGGTTAAGTTCACTTCCTTAGATGAAGGGCCCATCACTAGCATCAAGGCTGGCACCAGTGGATGAAACTCATAACTTGTCAAGGTCCACTAGTAGCAAAACTGCCTTCACACCCTTGACTTGCTGTCTAGATCCAACATTTTGTAATGTGATTAAGTGATAAAAGAAAGCCACAGTTTGACATCACTGGGTTATCCTTGATGAAAACCACAAAATTAATCACCAGTACATACTTACGAGATTGGTGTATCTTCGGAATCAATGTACTGTACGTACAATGTGTGTCATCACATGTACAACTGTAGAACTGTACATGTCTTAACCCTTTCAGGGTCCGTCCCGTAGATCTACGGCTTTATGTTCAGGGTCCAAACCGTAGATCTACGCCATGAGCTCAGCTCACTCTGATAAACTGTGAGTGGTACATTTGGGCCTAGATATGAGAGAATACATCTATGTGGTATGCGTGCACCACATAAAACAGATCCTGCAGCACACTGTGTATACTGAGAGAAAAAAAATGAAATCACGATTTTTCGATTAAATCAGCAACTTTGCAGTGTTTTTCGTATGTTTTTTATAGTTGTATTTGCGATTTCTTGGTCTCATTTGATAGAATGGAAGACATATTACAGAAATAGAGATGATTTTGATTGGAAATGGCTTGAAACTGAGCTTAGAGTAGCAGAAATGTTAAATTTTTGCCGATATTCAAGAGTAAACAAACGACCTCACACGTCTAATACACGCCAGCTGGTGGGTCTAATATACATTCACAAATATGGTGATGATATTTATACAATTATTACAGTATTGCATAACAGTAAATCTTCTATTTTTTTGTGTGAATAAAAATTCATTATGTGAATAAAAAATCAAAATGGAATTTATTTATAAAGCCTCAAAACATAACTAATGAACAGAGGAAATGTTAGTTTAGTGCCAGGAATGCCTACATTGTTCATTCTGGACCCTATTTTGAAATTGGAATATTTTGAACTTTGTGTTAAATTGGCCAAATTAACAATTTCCGATCACTTTATTTTGTAGTTGAAACAGTTGACTTGGCGATTTCTTGTGCTCAATCGATAGAATAGAAGTAATACTAGTGAAATAGCTAAGAATTTGGTTGACTGGAATAATGTAATTGGCCTAAAATGGGAGTCAAAGTCGGCAAAATCGCCGATTCGTAAATATCGCTGATGCATCAAAATTCGCGAGAGCATAATTTCGTCAATTTTCCACCAAATTTCGTACTTTTTGTTTTATTACCTTCACAAAAAGATTCTCTACGATTTCATAAGAAAAAATAACAAATTTTTTTTTTGAAAATTCTTGGACACTGGTGCGTGACTCCAGATTTGGGCCTTGGACCCTGAAGGGGTTAATAAAAGCAAAATAGTTTTTAAACAAGTACTAATTATTGCAGTTCAATGGTAAAAAATTAACTAAATTTTTGTATCTACAAGTTTTGTTTTTAACCCTTAAACTGTCCAAACAAATTTATGTTCACATGTGTAGTGCTCCAAAAGTAAATCTACATTTTTTTACACATTTTCAAATATAACAAAAAAAAAAGTAGATCAAAGTTTTTTTTTACACGTTTTCAAATGTAAAAAAAAAGAAAAGAAGATCTACGTTTTTTACATACTTTCAAATGTTGAAATGTCCAAACATAGATCTATGTTTGGACAGTTTAAGGGTTAATGAGCATGTGATAGAAAAATTTTCACACTTTTTGGCAGGACATGTCTGAAGAAGCTTTTTACAAAATGTTGATGAGTGTGACATGATTTTCCTAAAAAAGAAAAAAAAAAAGCTTGCTAAATATTATTTTCATTGCACATTGTGTATAGCACACCTAACTGCATTAGCTCTACAAATGGTTTATTTATTTATTTATTTATTTAATGTCTTTGCAAACAGTACATTGAGATTGTGTATATACAATAGTGGGTTGCAATGCAGAGAGAGCCTCTATTATGCCTTGGCATTATGGGCCAACTTAACATTATTGGCTTACATTCTACTTAATACTAAGGAGTAGTATATCATAGTTGTACAGTAGGAAAGTAATTATTTCATAGTTGTACAGTAGAATATTAATTATAAATGAATCGAAATTTGTATAATACAAAGATATATGTATTTATATTCTAAAATGCTATTAAATGCTATTAAATAAATTAAAAGAACGTACCCATCATGCCAATCAGGGCATGGGGCGGTGTAGTCACTTCGGGTGGAAGGCCGTATGGATCAAATTCATCCTCCATATTATCTATCACAGCTGCAGGAATGTTTATATTTATCTGAAATTAAGATAAACATGTACGTATATAAGTACAAAGAAGGTCTGATAACAATATCAAGAATCCACTGAATATATGAATATGAATTGTATTGTTCACTCACGCAAAAATGCAATACACATAAAGGGCTAGGCCCTAATATCTGGAATTTATTGCATGGACCAGCAAAAGGTTCCTTGCCTGTCAATCAATTTAAGGCTATACTTAAAGATTATCTCATCTCCCAAAATTAACCATAGCAACTATACAGTACTAAAATATTTAGCCAGTCTGTAATGACTCAAAAAAAAAAAAAAAAAAAAAAAAAAAAAAAAAAAAAAAATCCCCCCCAAATTTAGGACTGTTTAATCAGTGTAAAACATTAATGCATGCTTAAAATTGTGCTGTTGTAACACTGTAAATTGCACTAAATTCAACTGTTATTTGTTTTTTGCTGCCTCACTACTATAGATCTTATTAATTAAAATTTTTTTGACTACCGATAAGTTATAGAGTGGTAAATTTTAATTATTCATAATTTTACCTTATTACTAAAGTGGGGTAGTCAAAAAATAACTTATCATTATAGAGTGGTAAATTTTAATTGGTACAGGTCAACCATCACTAATCTGGCATTATTGGGACCTGTAGGGTGCCGAATTAACGATTTTGCCGGATCGCAGAGTGGTTAGGTTAGAATACACTTAACCCAACAGCTAACCACCTCATCCTACCTTTAAAATACCCCATAAATCAGTACAAGTTAGTTAATAAAGTTAACCAACTTGACTTACACAAAAAGTTCATCACTGCTGCTTCCACAGTGAAGAGCTGAAATTTACAACTAAGCACATTTACATGTCTTGAGGTGAAGGGCTGTCAGGATTCCCATCGTCTTCATCTTGGAAGGTGACTGAGATATCAGGAACTGATGATAATAGTGGCAGCACATCTGGGTGAGCAGATATTGAAGGCACCAGATTTTCAAGTGGTGACTCCTCTGTTGCACACTTTTTTAGCTATTTTTTGGAATATATCTTGCAAGCTGAGCTGTTTCATATATTTTGGCCTTTCTTTGATTAGTTTATCCTGAAGTATGTAAACATTCATTATCTCATTCTCAAAACTGCATTGCTCAAGATCTTCTAGCAGTTCACCTGTTAATTGAATTAGCCTATCCTCTTTCTGCTACATCTTCCTCATTTTCAGCACTGCTTTCTTCTCCACTGGCCTGTTGCTGTGGACTTACAACCATCTGCACAATTTCTGAGTCAGTATAATGATGAACAGTAGCTGCATCTTCATCTACATTCATCCATTACCTAACATCATCTTCATCCATCCTCGATGCAAGATCCTTTGCAGCAGGATTAGTCAGATCACGAGCAAAAGAAAGCAGATCACGTATAATCTGTTTTTCCTTTGAAGCCCTAAATCCTGTGAAGTCATTTTTAATGTCTTCACCAGATGCAGTCTCAAACATTAACCCTGGCCATAATTTATGCCATCCATTTTTCAGTGTGGATGCCTCTACAGACTTCCAAGCACTGGCAACATTAAATTCCTTTAAAAGTTCAAGTACTAGTCTACCAGAGTTAACTGCACTCAGTAGGCACCTCATAATATGGGTATAATATGTAGACTTAAAAGAACGTAGCATGCCATTTTCCTGGGGAAGAATTAACGATGTGCAGTTAGGTAGGAGGTAGATACCGAAAACACCACCAAACAGTAGCAGCAGGTTGGTGTGGCAACCCAGGAAATTTGAAATTACGCTAGCCGAAACTGGTGCCAATTAGTGATGGAACTGGATTAGTGGTTGCCAGATCAGTGATGGCTGACCTGTAGTAAGGAGTGACTGGACAGTACCAAAATTTTCCTGCCACTAATACTACTAAATTTTAGGCCAAAACTGATACCATTAAAAGTAACCAATACCCAACCACACCAATACCATCAAAAGTAGCCAATACCCACCCACCATCAAAAGTAGCTAATATCAGTACGTACTCAATTTTAAGCCAATACTGATACCATCAAAATAAGCCAATACCTGCCTATACCAATACTCTGCCACACCCCTTAGTAAACAGACACTGTACCTAGAAGATATTACACTTTTTAAATATCATCCCAGAATCCTGATGAAAATAATGCACTGCTTGGCTTTCTTGGGTTGCCTGAAGTATTAACCCTCTGGGGTGACCAAACCAAATAAAGTTTTCTATCTTTTTATCTTTACCAACAGATAGTATGATTCAATTCCACTATCACACTATGGTACTAGACTACTGATACCTTTGTAACTGTGGATTAATTTAGGCTAAGTTAAACTAAGGACCCCAATGGAAATAAGTCACATTATTTGACTTTATCAATTTATCTTGGGCTCAATCAATATACATAACGTATAAATAATGTATGTGTGTTTGAACCTCCAGTACAGCTGGAAAACATTAAGACGTGTTTCCATAAGACATCCCCTGTCCCTGTTCACCCATCAGTGTAAAATGGGTACCTGCATGTTAGTCAACTGGTGTGGGTCGCACACCAGTTGACTAACATGTGCTTGTAGAAATAAAGATATTATTATTATTATTATTATTATTATTATTATTATTATTATTAATGATTCCCATAAAGTGGTCACATTCAAATTTACACTATTCGAATTATATGTAATTTTTGCGCATAATTTAAAGTTTGGGGGAAACTAGCATTAATTAATTTTGTATTAAATCAAAATTTGCACTAATCAAACCTGATTGTAAATTACATATCCTTGTGTTTGTATTTTGTGTATTTTTCCAACAACCTGACAGTATCGCATACCATTTCTACCAGATTAGGTTATGATGGTGTGTAGATTCATAACTGGTGTAAATAATATATATAACTGACTTTAAGTAAGGTTTGTCAGGAAACGGAATGTTTCTTGATGCGGGTCTTAATCCTATGATGACCGACAGCTGGAGCTTTTGGTCATCTGACTGAGGCCTTCAGCTGGCTTACCAGTTTGCCCCTTTAAAAATTATGGTTATTATTATAAAAATTTTGTAGTACATAATTGAAAAAATCTAAAATTTCATATATGATACCCAATCCTGTTCCTCATCCTCATATCAGACACAGACAGAGATGCAATCCACAGCACCGTGTCATCCTTTGCAGACAATACTAGGATCTGCATGAGACTGTTATCTACTGAGGACATGGTTAACCTCCAAGAAGATATAAACCAAGTTTTCCAATGGGCAACGGAAAACAACATGATGTTCAAAGAAGATAAATTCCAACTACTCCGTTATGGAAAACTAGGAGATAATAACTAGAACTGATCATACAATAGAGCGGAAAAATAATGTGAGGGACCTGGGAGTGGTAATATCTGAGAATCTCGCTTTCAAGAACCACAACAGTGCCATGATCACAGCTGCAAAGAAAATGATAGGATGGATAATGAGAACATTCAAAACGAGAGATGCCAAGCCAATGATGACCCTTTTCATATCACTTGTTCTCTCTGGCTGGAATACCGCTGTACATTAACATCTCCGTTCAAAGCAGGTGAAATTGCAGATCTAGAGAATGTACAGAGAACCTTTACTGCACATATAAATTCTATCAAACACCTCAACTACTGGGAATGCTTGGAAGCACTTGACTTGTATGCGTTGGAATGCAGGCAAGAGAGATACAGTGTATATCATAATCTACATTTGGAAAGTCCTAGAAGGAATGGTCCTGAATCTACACACAGAAATCACTCCCTACGAAAGTAAAAGACTGGGCAGGTGGTGCAAAGTACCCCAAATGAAAAGTAGGGGCGCCATTGGTACAATAAAACACCATAAATGTCCGGGACCCAAGACTGTTCAACAGCTTTCCACCACGCGTAAGGGGAACTGCCAATAGGCCCCAGGCTGCCTTCAAGAGGGAGCTGGACAGATACTTAAAGTCGGTGCCAGATCAGCGTAGTTGTGGTTTGTACATTGGAATTCGTAAGGCCAGCAGTAACAGCCTGGTTGATGAGGCCTTGATCCACCAGGAGGGCTGGTCGTGGACTGGGCCGCGGGGGCGTTGGTCCCCGGAATGCCCTCCAGGTAGACTCCAGGCCCTCCAAGTATTATATTTTGAGGAAGATAAGACTTAATTCAGATTTTTAATCCGGAAGGTTAGCCACCCAGGATAATCCAAAAACAGTCAGGGTATTATTGGGGATGGTCTACTGGGGTCCTTAAATCTTGTCCCCCAGGATGCACTGAATCCACAGGGTTCAGCCCTAGGGGAAAAATAATCAGATAATGATAATAATCATGTTTCATCAAGGAAATTATTATTATAAAAAAAGAAGCACTAAGCCACAAAGGCTATACAGCACTGTCATCAAGGGAGGATAACTGCAATTCCTTGGACCAAGAGCGCTTGAACAGCATGAAGGAACCTTCCTGCAGAGGCATACCAGCAGCCCTACAATACACTATATTATTCCCTATCTACTTGTCCTTTAATTAGCTAAATCATATACAGAGGTAATTATAGCTCACAAAAATAAGTATTATGAAATAATGACTAACTGGTCAGGATGGTTAATGGGGTTTAAAGCCTATCTACTAAAAAGTTGTTTAGGTTTCACCTAACCTCGCCATTATAGAATATTTTAATCCCGAAAATTAATATTAAAGTAAACTTTCGGCATATATGGCACAGAGAATCACACACCTGGCCGTGCATATATCCTGCATGAGACGCTATGCTACATATATTAAAAGAGGAGACAGTCTTCTCTTCTTTTTTTCTTCTACTGTGTTGGGTTTATCAGGGCCACTGACACCATAAGCCGTGTCGAGCCCGACTTCTCGATGGTACCACGAAGATTTGTTGCCCACGGCTGAGCGATGAAAGAAAAGGAACAAAAGTTCCTTTGAGATAGAAACTTGAAGTTTCCAGTTAGATCCGGTGGACGCCCTTGCCAAGCCCCAGCAGAGAGGGACGCCTACACTCCCACCTGAGTTCAGTAACCGGCTTCCCACCAAAGACATAAGAACATAGGAAATGAGGAATACTGCAACAGGCCTACTGGTCCATACTTGGCAGGTCCATGTCAGAACCAACCCACCAACAAAAATATTTGCCCAACCCATCCCCAGAGCCACCCAAGCAACAAGCCCCGTCAACATTCCCCCCCCCCCCCTCCTATCAATGTGTAAGTCCCGCTCAAATCCATCCCCTCTCACTCACAGAATACAGAAAGAAGGAATATTGCAGCAAGCCAACCGGCCCACACTAGGTAGGTCTCCCTCAAACCCAGACCCACAAGCAAAACCACCTGCCCAACCCACCTTCTACTCTATCCATGGAACAAGCTTTGATAACCAGGGCACTATTAAAGAGGGTACTGAGGGAGCTGAAGCACCTGGTCCATCACCAGAGCACCGAGGGAACTGAAGCACCTGGTCCATCACCAGGGCACCGAGGGAACTGAAGCACCTGGTCCATCACCAGGGCACCGAGGGAGCTGAAGCACCTGGTCCATCACCAGAGCACCGAGGGAACTGAAGCACCTGGTCCATCACCAGGGCACCGAGGGAACTGAAGCACCTGGTCATCACCAGGGCACCGAGGGAGCTGAAGCACCTGGCCCATCACCAGGGCACCGAGGGAGCTGAAGCACCTGGTCCATCACCAGGGCACCGAGGGAGCTGAAGCACCTGGTCCATCACCAGGGCACCGAGGGAGCTGAAGCACCTGGTCCATCACCAGGGCACCGAGGGAGCTGAAGCACCTGGTCCATCACCAGGGTACCGAGGGAGCTGAAGCACCTGGTCCATCACCAGGCCACCGAGGGAGCTGAAGCACCTGGTCCATCATCAGGGCACCGAGGGAGCTGAAGCACCTGGTCCATCACCAGGGCACCGAGGGAGCTGAAGCACCTGGTCCATCACCAGGGCACCGAGGGAGCTGAAGCACCTGGTCCATCACCAGGGCACCGAGGGAGCTGAAGCACCTGGTCCATCACCAGGGTACCGAGGGAGCTGAGGCGCCTGGTCCATCACCAGGGCACCGAGGGAGCTGAAGCGCCTGGTCCATCACCAGGGCACCGAGGGAGCTAAAGCGCCTGGTCCATCATCAGGGCACCGAGGGAGCTGAAGCGCCTAGTCCATCACCAGGGCACCGAGGGAGCTGAAGCGCCTAGTCCATCACCAGGGCACCGAGGGAGCTGAAGCGCCTAGTCCATCACCAGGGCACCGAGGGAACTGAAGTCAAAGGCCTGCTCAGCACCAACGCCTCTCGCTCGTAAGAGCACAAGAAAAAGGAAATACTGCAGCAGGCCAGGCGGCCAACACTAGGCAGGTCCCCCTTAAACCCAAACCCAGACCCACAAACGAAAACACCTGCCTATTAAACCCAAACCCAGACCCACAAACGAAAACACCTGCCTATTAACATGTACAGGTAGTCTGTTCCACTAGTTGATAGTAGTGTTAAAAGTACCAGGGTTTGCTGCGTTAGCAAGGTGTCCATACACCATCCAGTACAGCACTTCTGAAAAAGCACCGTTAGGAAGTGGAGAGAGGGAGTTGCTTGGTGAAGGTGTCTGTAGTGTTGCCTGGAGAATCTTGGCAGTGTCAGATTGAAGTTTAGTAATGGCGGCATAGGTCTTCTTCTTAAGGTCTTCCTGGATTTTCTTGGATACAATTTCTTTCCGAAGTGGGCACTAAGCTGCAAAAGTATGATGATTACAATTGCAGTTAAGATATGCTGGAGCAGTAGTGGTGGTGCAGGATTTAAAATCGTGTAATTTTTTCCCTACACTTTGTACAAAATGTCTTGCCCTTGATGAGGCAGTCCTTGGTCGTATGGTTTTATGAGCAGCAGGTCCAGCAAGGAGATATATGGTTAAAACATTCAGGTTATTTCCCCTCGTGGAGATTTAGGCTTTAAGTCTATCTTCACACGGGAGATTCCTTAGACAGTAAATCATTTTAGTCATTCTTCTCTGTATGTTCTCCAATGAGTCTATATCCATCCTGTAGTAAGGAAACCAAAACTGAGAGGCCTCACTAGTGATGTATAGAGCTGTAAAATAACTTTTGGACTTTTGTTACTTACACTTCTTGAGATAAATCCAAGTATTCTGTTAGCCTTGTTGCGCACACTGAGGCACTGCTGTCTTGGCTTTAGGTTTCTGCTTACCATGACTCCCAAGTCTTTCTCCATTCTGTATGATCAAGCTCTACTTCGCCTAGTTTATAGCTTCGAGGGTTATTTTCATTACCAAAGATTAGTACTTTACACTTATTCACACTGAACTTCATCTGCCATTTCTCAGACCAAGACATTAGTTTGTCCAAATCCTCTTGGAGTTCATTGCTATCTTCCTCAGAATGAACTATACGGCCTATCTTTGTATCATCAGCAAATTTACTCATGTCACTCGTAATCCCTTCATCACCTGGAGTTTACCTGGAGAGAGTTCCGGGGGTCAACGCCCCCGCGGCCCGGTCTGTGACCAGGCCTCCTGGTGGATCAGAGCCTGATCAACCGGGCTGTTACTGCTGGCTGCACGCAAACCAACGTACGAGCCACAGCCCGGCTGGTCAGGAACCGACTTTAGGTGCTTGTCCAGTGCCAGCTTGAAGACTGCCAGGGGTCTGTTGGTAATCCCCCTTATGTATGCTGGGAGGCAGTTGAACAGTCTCGGGCCCCTGACACTTATTGTATGGTCTCTTAACGTGCTAGTGACACCCCTGCTTTTCATTGGGGGGGATGTTGCATCGTCTGCCAAGTCTTTTGCTTTCGTAGTGAGTGATTTTCGTGTGCAAGTTCGGTACTAGTCCCTCTAAGATTTTCCAGGTGTATAAAATCATGTATCTCTCCCGCCTGCGTTCCAGGGAATACAGGTTTAGGAACCTCAAGCGCTCCCAGTAATTGAGGTGTTTTATCTCTGTTACGCGCGCCGTGAAGGTTCTCTGTGCATTTTCTAGGTCGGCAATTTCACCTGCCTTGAAAGGTGCTGTTAGTGTGCAGCAATATTCCAGCCTAGATAGAACAGTGACCTGAAGAGTGTCATCATGGGCTTGGCCTCCCTAGTTTGAAGTTCTCATTATCCATCCTGTCATTTTTCTAGCAGATGCGATTGATACAATGTTATGGTCCTTGAAGGTGAGATCCTCCGACATGATCACTCCAGGTCTTTGATGTTGGTGTTTCGCTCTATTTTGTGGCCAGAATTTGTTTTGTACTCTGATGAAGATTTAATTTCCTCGTGTTTACCATATCTGAGTAATTGAAATTTCTCATCGTTGAACTTCATATTGTTTTCTGCAGCCACTGAAAGATTTGGTTGATGTCCGCCTGGAGCCTTGCAGTGTCTGCAATGGAAGACACTGTCATGCAGATTCGGGTGTCATCTGCAAAGGAAGACACGGTGCTGTGGCTGACATCCTTGTCTATGTCAGATATGAGGATGAGGAACAAGATGGGAGCGAGTACTGTGCTTGTGGAACAGAGCTTTTCACCGTAGCTGCTCGGACTTTACTCTGTTGACTACTACTCTCTGTGTTTTGTTAGTGAGGAAATTATAGATCCATCGACCGATTTTTCCTGTTATTCCTTCAGCACGCATTTTGTGCGCTATTACGCCATGGTCACACTTGTCGAAGGCTTTTGCAAAGTCTGTATATATTACATCTGCATTCTTTTTGTCTTCTAGTGCATCTAGGACCTTGTCGTAGTGATCCAATAGTTGAGACAGACAGGAGCGACCTGTTCTAAACCCATGTTGCCCTGGGTTGTGTAACTGATGGGTTTCTAGATGGGTGGTGATCTTGCTTCTTAGGACCCTTTCAAAGATTTTTATGATATGGGATGAAATTAAGACACGTGTGCAACATCTGGGTATCTTTATTGTAGACGTTTCGCCATCCAGTGGCTTTATCAATACAAATTCTAGGACATAACTTGAAGACAGTATAACTATGTACAGAAGATGAGGCAATCAGTCCCTCAACCTAGGAGTAGGGGCGAAAAGCACCATAGTCGTGGAGATTCTGAAGCAGAAGAAAGGAGCCTGGCGCTTATATAGGTGTAACAGACGAGGGCATAGTCACTGGTAGGCGGGATTCCCCAGTGGAAGTAGGTCCTTCCCAAAGAGATGGGTTAGTTGTAGTAGTAGTTGTCGTAGTCGTGAAGGTTATGTACATGTCCTCAGAATCAAGATTCCATGATGTTGCAGTGTCTGACAAGTTGTGTAAGAATGGTATATAATACCGACAAGATGAAATTAAGACACATGTGCAACAACAGATCTTGCAGTTCTTGAAGAACACGGAGTTCCATGAGTCTGGCCCTGGGGCAGAGTGCATGGGCATGTCATTTATCGCCTGTTCGAAGTCATTTGGCGTCAGGATAACATCGGATAGGCTTGTGTTAACCAAATTCTGTGGCTCTCTCATAAAAAATCATTTTGATCTTCGACTCTCAGTCTGGTTAGCGGCTTGCTAAAAACTGAGTCATATTGGGACTTGAGTAGCTCACTCATTTCCTTGCTGTCATCTGTGTAGGACCCATCTTGTTTAAGTAGGGGCCCAATACTGGACGTTGTTCTCGACTTTGATTTGGCATAGAAGAAATACTTTGGGTTTCTTTCGATTTCATTTATGGCTTTTAGTTCTTCCCGCGATTCCTGACTCCTATAAGATTCCTTTAGCTTAAGTTCGATGCTTGCTATTTCTCTGACCAGTGTCTCCCTACGCATTTCAGATATATTGACCTCTTTTAGCCGCTCTGTTATTCTTTTCCGTCGCCTGTAAAGGGAGCGCCTGTCTCTTTCTATTTTACATCTACTCCTCCTTTTTCTTAGAGGAATAAGCCTTGTGCATACATCGAGTGCCACCAAGTTAATCTGTTCTAGGCATAAGTTGGGGTCTGTGTTGCTTAGTATATCTTCCCAGCTTATATCGATTAATGTAAGTCATGAACAAGAGAGGGCCTAAAACTGATCCTTGTGAAACGCCACTAGTGACTAATCCCC